TTGGAATCTAACTGTTTACGATGTTTGTAATTACTGTAAACACAGCTTAAATAATGGCTTCTGTACCGTTACAGTGGTTTTTAAAATGAATAAAATATTATGACTGAAGTAATTTAACATTACAATAGCTCGTTATAATAAAATATAATAAAATACATGTATAATATAGTTTATAATTACTATTGTAGCCTGTCGTAGGATCAGTTTGTATGTTTTTCACATACAATTTACTTTGCTATATATTTTAAAAAAAGAAAATAAACCCATTAAGAGATCAAACCTTTAGTCTGTATTTTAAACAATAACAAATAATACTTTTTTTTTTGATTTTCTAAAATTTAAGCAATCTATGGGTTGGGGGGGGGGGGGGGGTACATAGTTGTATTATTTTATACTTTGATTTTGGCTAGAAAAGTATTGTTGAGAAATGAGAATGTATTACGATATACCCACCATGGTTCCAGTTATGTGGGGTAATGTGTACCTGTGTGAATGTTTCGTAAATACTTAAAATTTAAAACATGGAGGCTGCAAGGGAGAAAAAGGGCTTTTCCACTATACAATTATACGGTCAGACAAAATTTAACCATATACAACTAAACGAGAACAAACATTTTCAACGATATTATTTGGATTACGATTATCAATTTTACTTCAAGTTCATAGCTATTGTACTAAAGTTGCTAATATAATAGATTAATATAATATCATAGACGGTAAAATCTTATGCAAATATATTTATTCTTAAGCTTAAAGTCCAAGGAGGGACAATATACTTTGAATGTTGTATTACTTGGACCAAAAATATAATATTTAAAAGCATTTCACATTTTTTAACACTGTCGCCAAAATTATTTGACTCAGTCCTTTTGTACATTTACAATATACTAAATAAATATTTATTTGAAAGATAAGTCGGATAAGTGATAACCAAACGCGTACGAACATTAAGCAAAAACATTAATAAATAGCAAATATGACGATACATAATGCTATTATATTCTTCCTTTTTAGAACCACTGTAAATGTATCAATAGCTAGATAAAGGCGTTGGTATAAAGTGCAAAACTATGAAGGTAATATCTATACTAGATATTTTAGTAACATATAGGAACTTGAAGTATAAGTAACGTTTTAAGTAGGTTCAACGATTTCTAGCTATATTGGTATTTGATTTTACCCTGATATTCTAATACAATATATACCTATAAATATGTATGAATTTCTAATTAGACACATTCATAAAACCAAGAACGTTGGTACTATACTGGACAAACTGTGGTAAATTTCATGGAGTTAACCAAAACTAATAAAAGAAAAATTATATAGTGGTGCACATTAAACGCTGTATAATGTACACGTCGCAATAATGAAACCCATTTTTTTGCCTTTATTTTTAAAACTATTTAATTTTTGATAAGTGAAAAGAATGCTGTGTCTTACACTAATTTAAAAGCAACGGAAGAGTTTTCATACTATCTAGGGACCAAGTAGGGTCAATCTCTCTCACCGCTTAAATTGAAAAAAATTGTCAATGAATAATCTGCATACAAGTGCAAACATGTTGCATGATATTCAAATTGAGTTATTCTCAGCATTCAGATTATTTTAATCATATACTTCATAATTCTAGAGAATTATTCAAATCCGTTATTTGAGCTATATTATACTCCTACATATAATATGTAGGCATCGTATTTATTTATTGTCCATTTTATCGAGTAACAGGTTGTGAAAATAAAATTGTATTGTTAATTGTATGTTAATTAACATATTATTATACTACGTGTGTACATTATATTAAAAATTAAATAATAATACAATACAATTTAGTATTATTGGTATAATAGGGATCTAAATATTATGTACTTTTGTCATAAATAAGGAGTAAAGAATATTATCATAGAGAGTTGCAAACTTAAATACGTATACATGTTTAATAAAATGGCACCTGTTATAAAATAAAAACAAATTTGTGATTTAGAGAGATATTAGAACCCAGGAACTTTAACATTTTTAAGTACCTTATATATACAATGTAAATAGATAGTTGATCAAATGTAATATAATGCTAAATAATTTCAAAAGCATAATTTAAATTTGGGTCATTAAAAATAATATATTCAAATTGTATTTTAAAAAATACGTGTCTAGTAACCATATAATAATAGATGCAATGCATACAAAATGATTCCTATTTAAGAAATGGTCATCTGATATGTAAGCGTGTCAATGAAATACATTTTTATTAGTCTAATATATTACATAAATATAAATACAAATATTAAGGTACGAATAAGAGAATGATGGTGTCAAGTACACAACTGGAAGATGACGAATAATAAAGCACAAAATATTATATTGTTTTTTTTATAATAAAAAAAATGTTTTTATTGTTCCATAAATTCTCGTACGCCGTAATTTACTAGTAAAATGACAATGCAATCGCCTACACGCCAATCTACTAAACGAAACTAACTATAAGTAGATTTTCACTTACAATTAATTCAATTTCAAAATAATACTCTTATACGTATAGAATTAATAATAATATAAGTTAGAAATACAGAATATCATTAGCTTATTACAAAATTACACTTTGCATGTATTTGACATTTTGAGTATGCCTATTGTTATAAATAATCATATTTTCATGTTTTTTGTAACAACAAGATTGACAAAGAATTACATTTTTACACGTGTAATTATTGCTGGCTATGCAATATTATTATTTACAAAGATTTTACAAACATTATACTAATGAAAAATAGAAAACGTTCAAAATGTATATAAATATGACATGCGGTTCATCAAAAACATTTAACGAAGTCACTAGTTTCAAATCGAAATTTTCTAATATTATTTATTTTAATTTTTTTTTTTTTTTTCATTAGTAAATTATAATGTGAACCTAATTTGATCTTTGTTAAGCATAGAGGTAGATATTTCTAGATTTTTGAAAAATATTGTTAGCACTGAATTAAAAAAAAAATATATAACTGTATATTATAATTATTATGTGAATTGTGTTGATTTTATATACAGACCATTTATATGTACTACATCTTAAAAGTACCTAAGTTAATGAATGTTGTCCAAAAAGGTTTATATTTGTTTTTGATGCATTATTATACACAATACACATACTTCGACACATAACTATCTATGGTTAAATTCTCTAAAAAATAAAAATAAAAATAAATTGGTAGATAGTAAATACGTTTGAAAATATTTAGTTTTCGCAGACTATTTAAACTAACACAATATAATTGTGTATTTCATTAAATACCCAAAAGAAAATTTCTTTCTTTACCAAAGTAAAGTAATATAATAAAATATGTATGATATAAAAATTCCTTTAGAAATAATTATAAGCGAGAAAAATAATGAATATAATACTTCGTATTTTATACTAAATTTAAATTTTAAACTATTTAAACAAACTTTAGTTCAAAATAATATGAAAACAATTTATATACTGGCATAACAAATAATTGTTTACCAACGAATAATTGAAAACTGGTGGTAAAAAAGCTACGCTCATGATTATTTGTGGGGGTTCTTTCTCATTCGTCTTAAAAAAAATAACTACAATGCAGAGGATTAAGCAGAAAATATTATTGTAAAATATTGTATTAATTTATGGGTATTTTCAGTTTGTTTTAGATTGTCTGGACTGACTGGATTCATTCATCAATCTAGTGGTCTCACCGATGAGTGGTGCCATTTTATTCAAGGTGGTTAAATAGCTGTAAAGAGTATTTTTATCCATCAGTACATTTAGCTAGATTTAACACTGTTCTCTTCCAGTCCTTTCAGAGAATTATTCCACCATTCCAGTACAATATTACATATATTATACATACAGAGAATTGATAAATTATTTAAATTAATACTAATATATAAAAAATTCATAACAATTGATTATGGGATTACTGATAATGTATTCAATTTGCGATAAAAAAAAATATGCATATCAAACACTTAGAATATTATACTAATCACTTTTTCTATGTAAGAGTTTTAATTAAACCAACTTGTATTATTGGATAATATACGCCACAGGCTTAAATAATAAATCAGCAAAAAATGTAAATAAACGGCTTTAATTTTTTTTTAAATTTAATATAATATTATACGCTATGCTATAAATGTAGTAAGTATATGTGATCTTTCAAGACCAATATATTTGTATACGTTGAACTACGTTTTAGCATTTTCGGACCAATTCAAAAATAATAGGTAGTTATTGCCTATTGGTGCTTGATTTGTATATAGTCTTTGTGTAGTATCTGGCAAATCAATAGCCAGGAAAATATAAAATCATAAGTAATGTGATGTATGTATGAAAAATAGAATTATATTCTTCTTTAGTCAGGTTTATTAAATGTATGCAAGACCACGACACAATTGTATTACTCAATCATCAATCGTTTATCGTTGTTTGATTGTATTTTTACATTTTAAAATCGTTGGATTTCCATATGACTAGATTATATTAATATACTTTTTGTATTCAATAGTCTATAAACATATGGACTATAGTTGAGAGTCTTCGGAAAGTAATGGTAAGTTTGATAGAAATAAAAGCAAAGATCTAATTTTAAAAAAATGTTCTCTCTTATTAAACTATTCTAATAAATTGCATAGGTACTTTTATACTTCTTGCTATTTTGATTAAAACTGAAAAATACGTTAATTAATAATCATATTGAGTTATTTACATTGTATCGATCAGTTTTCACCGCTGGAAATTCACCAGTAATCCAATAAAATATAGTTAATGTATTCGCATGAATTTACTTTTACCTATGGAATTGTAATCATGTGAAGCAGTTTCCCACGGATTGCTTATACTAATTAGTACTATTGTTACATTGCCCGTTCTTTATTTTCGATAAGTACGTCTAGTGCACATTGCACACGTGAAGACATTATAATTACCGTTTTTTTTCCCCATAACGTATCCGTCACGATATAATATTATGTCGGAGACTCACCTAGTAGTAAGAGTGTGAGATCGGATACGGCCAAGCTGAACAGGTAGTAATTAGTGGCCGTGTGCATAAAGTTGTTGCGAACGATCACTACGCAAACGGCGATATTGCCAATCACTCCGGTGACGAATATGAACACGTATATGACGGTGATCGGCAACACGATGTTCAGTGACAGGTGTTTGGGCCCTCGAGTGCGGAGCAAATAACCCTCCACCGTCTCGTTTGCGGCATCGTCGAGCTGGACCATGTACGATCCACTCGTCGTGTTGTTCATGTCAGATGTATTTTCGACACTGCGCCTTGAACACGTCCATCTACAACTGCAGGCAAAACGCACAATATTCACAAACTGAGATGACTGTATGACAATAATATTAATAATAATAATAATAATAATAATAATGACGATGATGACGGCGACGACGACGGTGATATGACAATGATGTTAATCATATTACGTCTTTAATAAGAAGGTACCTCAGCTATGTTATACCTATACGTGTATTAATTAAAATTAGATTATCGAATATATGTTCACTCCCGCTTATATACCTAACTAGTATTAGTGGTTTTCATTACAGAGATCATTTCTGTCAAAATATATGTACATATACGTGGTATATCCGGAGTGATTTTGTAGCAGAACAATAGATATTGCTTATTCTAATATACTAAGTTAGAAACATCCTCTCTATAGCTATTTTAATATTCGGTAAGTTTAGTATACTTGAATATCGAGTGTTATGTGGCAAAATAATCATGTGTATGGTATATACATTGGATTGCAGTATGGAGTACTGTGTTTGTGTTGGAAATAACGGCTGTACATCTCGATATCTAATATAATATATTAATATATATTACATTACATATATTATACTATTATATTATATTTGAACTCAAATTATTATTACGAACTAAAATTGTACTCATATATACCGCTCATGACTAGATTGACATCGAGTTTAAACCCAAATTAATCGGGACTAGTGGCGACCATTAGTCTAGTAAATAATGAGAATAGTGAGTATTTTGGTCAAATAAATATGATGAATAGTAGGTATGAGTAGGTATGAAAGTACGTACCCTTAACAACAAAAGCCATTAATAAAAAAACAAACATATAAATTTAAAATATAATGCCATATAATTATTTTGTTACAAAAACAAAATTAAATACATAAAAGAAATTGTAATTATTATTATTATCAAAAATGTACAATTGGGAACCACTATTTAAAAAAAAAATTTGCTTTGAAATATGTTACTTTAATATAGCTATAATTACACCTCTCCACTTACAATATAATGCAAATTTAAACTAAATCATGCTTTTTTTATGTTTGAAAATATTTCGTAAGTAAATGTAGAAAAATGTGGAAAAATGTTTGTTATGATGATTTTAATAAAATATGAATAAAAACCATCTTAAATTGTCTTTATTTTATCTAGTGTAAATTCTAATATAATATGAAGGTATTATACAATTTGTAATAATAAGTGATAATTAAATAAACGATCAAAACATATTTCATGGAACCAATCGGTTAGTATGATATAAATGGCACCTGCACCACAGTTATCACATTAATAGTTTATATATAAATACATTCATATAATGTTACATAATATTATACTGTATATCACGAACAAATGTCACCTAAGCTCTAGGAGTATAGTACTGTTGTACTTATATTATTATGTTCACCTCTATATAAAGTTTTTTTTGTGTATCATTTATTATTTATACATTTTATTGGTCAGTTAGAATCACCAAATAAAAATTTCGATTTTTGTGAAATGTTTTTTTTTTACTAACCTAGCATGTACAACATATGGCGAGGTGATACAAACGAATTAGGGACGCTATGCACGCGACGCAAATCCCGGTCACACCATCAACCATGCTCGGGAAATAGAATTCACTATACGATTTTTAAACATGTAGGCACGATCGTGGTTTCTATCCATTATATGAGAAAATAAAAAGCTATCCTCGAATTATTTCTAATTAGCGAATAGTATTGTTCATTGAGATATTTGTTGAAAACTCTGTAATGTCTCTCGTCATGCAGCGTCATAATAATATATTAGTATAAAATTCAATTTTCCGTTTTTTTTTTAAACTGTTCATCATCCTGCCCTGAAACCGGAACCGTGGAGATGTGGATTAGAAACGATTGAAGGATAATGAAAATAAATAAAATTGAATCTGTTTAATATAATAAGATTGTTCCACGGGGGAAATAATTTTGAATATCACTGGGTATGAATACAGTTGATTACTGGAAATGTCATATTTTAAGTGATAGATTATATGATGTTAATTTTTTATTTTTTATTCTTTGTTCTTATTCGTTTTATTAATTTCACAATAGTTGATTCATCTGCATCTCATTAAAAGCACATATAGTTTTAAACTAAATAGCTGAAATATTATACGTTATTGTTGTTATATATTGGGATACGCCAATCCTATATAAAAACCATTAAAAACCAACTTGAACCATTGAACAGGAGTTTTTTTCAAAGAAAAATGTTATTTGTGCTTTGACGAAAATCAGGAAAATACTTTTGCCGAATATGAGAATCGGTTATAAATCACCAGTATGAGATAAAATCCTCCTCCCTTTTATCCGTAGGTAGAAGTCACACGTACTTTTAAAATAGTGTTAACTTGAATTCAATCAAACTTTGTTAGCTGGTAACAATATAGGATAGTATTATATATATATATATTTTAATTTATTAGAAAATATACAATCTATAATATTATAATATGTAAAAAATATAGACTAGGCAGGTATACTCGTAGTAAATAGTATTTTAAAAGTGAGTTTGTTTAAAATTTACCTTATGAATTATTGATAAACATTAATGTCGGGCTGATAAAACAATATGTCAATGTTAAATAAAAATGCTGACGGTATAATTATATTGCTAATTAGTACAAACAATTATACAATTCTTAATTCTTATTTTGTATTTATAGGAACGAATTTAAATTTGAAAATATTTAAAATAATTTGATTACATCCATATCAAACCATCCGTGTAAATAATAACTAATCAAAATAGTAAGAAATATAACTACTTAATTATTAATAATAATTCTTCTTGGATTCAAAAGTGTAATATTAACGATAATCGATCTGTTTGGCTAAAAATAAAAGTGATATCGCTGCTAATCGAATTGTTCGTAATATACGAAAACCATTCACTTTAAAACGTCTCTTACAAAAATTGCAACGAAAAAATATGAATTTTTCTCTCTACGGTTTTGTAATTTAATTTTTAAGGATTTTTAGGTGCTCACACAAGGGATAACGAACGATTAAATGTCCGCAAAACAAAAATAATTAGTTTTTCATTCCTCCCAGATGATAGCAGAGAACGTAACACCCCTTAGCAACATATTACTGTATATAGCCTTGTAGGTAATCCATGTCACATATAAAACAAATCGGGTTTTTTAACATTTCAAAAAATGATCATATCCAAATTTATTCTAATGCTGTTCGTACCCGACGGCCAACATGTGTCGTGGAAAAAGACTGATGATGTATGGTGTATACGCATCAAAACACTATTTGTACACGCATTTACGACCTGCTTGCTGTATGTAAAAATATATAATAATAGTGTATCTTAAAGATGAAAATTAATCTGTTTTCAATTTCATATTTATCTCTTAACACTATAATACTGCTTAATTTATTCACTCTCTTAAGTAAATCCAAACGTTCCTACACTAAAAGTGGCATTTTCACAGGCTTATATCCATACTAAGTAGGTATATTTGACTATTCGACTAAATGAAGTTTAAAACTTTTACTAAAATATATAAATATATGGTAACTATTATAATTCTTTAAACATATAGGTATATGTTGTGATAAACTATATTAATTTTACGAACATGTCTAGGTAAATATTATTATTATTTCATTTACATAATTAGGATAGTCTTATATTTTAGCGAGTAAGTAAAAAAAAAATTAAAAACCTTTTCATTTTACTAAATATCAGTCATCAATGCAGTCCAAAATCTAAATCAATAGCAATGAATTAACTCTAATGTGATTTAGCGTTTAATTAAAAATTTAAAAACAATTTGAAGTCATGATTAAATTAATGTAATACAACACTAGTACTTACTTTCCGAATAATGTATTCGTTATCCAACTATGTTTGATTAATTTCAAGCTATTGGATAGCTTGGTAATAGTGGTTGGCAGATTGCGTTACAGTCGAAACATGTTCTCCTATTGATCAATGAAAGTAACACTAATCTAATCTATACATTTCAATATTGCTTTTGGGATAAAAATTTATATTTTATATTTTACTCATCCATTGTCGTTTTGTAAATTTATGTACAATGATTTCAGGTTCCAGTTTGATCCCAAAATATTTTATATCCTATAAAGAAATGAGATACTACCTACGACATATTATATACAATATAGTCTGTACGTTCACGGACATTTATATTTGTAAATGTTTCACAGCGAATGGACTTATATAAAAATATTATAGTATATTTTACAATGTAAATTGATATATCTATGCGTAATATATTCCTAAATCCTAATCTGACCTAACCTAACAAGCATACGTATAAAGGTAAATAACCTTTTATCTAAAAGAAAACCTAAGTATATATTTATATAATATATTATTATATGTTACATACTCTCATATTGTATAATATATAATAATCATAAGTCATAATATATACCTACATTTGTGAATACTGAATATAGCAACTAGTTAATAATTGGATGCAATTATGAAAATTAAAAACAACTGAAAATAATAAAAATGCGTTAAAAACATTACAAATGTATAAAAATCATTAAAGGTATTGAAAAAAAAGTGTAGCAGTTTTCGATAACATATATTACAGAACATCATTACTAATTACTCCTATTCATATATAAACATACATGATCTAGCCTAGATATTAATATATCTAATATGCTTAAAATAATTTCAATAGTTGAAGAACTTATCATTAAATTGTATGTAATAAAGTTATTTTACTAGAAAAAAAAAGCATTAAAATATCTCACTAAACGTGCATAGTATACGATATGTAGAAGAATTTAGGAAATAAATTAAAAGTTTTACTAACCACTTTCTGGGTGTGTTATACACTTATACCCCTCTTACTCGAGGTCAATTTTCTAAATACTCAAATTATAGAAATACTAAACAAATTTCTAGCTGATCTAGCAATGAAAACAAGTAAAAAAACATACATATTATCATATATATTATTTATAGTCACTTGAAATTTAATAAATAAATAAACTAA